CCCAAGGTTGTTCTCAAACTTGAAATGTGGATGTAGCTGTCTCGTTGGTCTTTTCTTATTGTGCAGTATCACATTCAATCTCAAGTCAGAATAGCCGTTTACATTGGTGAGCCGAAACAAATGACTCTTTGCAGTTATAGCACAGCTTTTTTAGTCTCCTTTCTATCATCTCTGCCTTTGTTAATTTTTTTATAAATGGAGATGAAATGTTAACAGATTGTGTCGTAATGTTGCTGCCCTGTAGAGTCGGTTTTTTTAAATTGAATTGTTAGGTTTGGTCACGAATTGAGAATGATCAACTATAATTGTCTTCGATCATACCTCACAATTGTTTTTTTTTTCAAAAGTTCTGGTCATACTTATTGTATGTATAAGAGTGGTGGGTGATTGCATCTCGACCTCTAAACGGAGGGAATCCATTAATCCTGCTGTGAACAAACTTACATGCTGATCAACTCAAACAAATCTATTTGCCCGTGTCAATTTTTCGTGAAATTGCTTTTAATACTCCTCAACTGATCTTGTTTGTTTCAAGTTCACCTACAGCCCCAATAGATTGCTTCCGGCTGACGGTCCAAACCTTAGCGAGCAGTATTCCTTAAATCTAGCCCAATTGATTGTAAATTGTTCGGATTCTAATTGATGATACCAAAGTTGCGCTTCACCGAGCATGTGAAAAGCAGCCAATCCTACTTTATCTCCTTCCGATGTGTGTTGATTGGTAAAGAATTTCTCACATCGATGTAACCAAATCAGAGGATCTTCATAACAGTCGAATGTTGGAAAGTCTAATTTAATATAACGAGAAATAACCACATTACTTGGATGATGGTTTGTGCCTTGCGAACAACTTCTTGCATGAAATGCTTGAGGCGGTTGTTCTCGCGGGTTATGACTACTGCCAGTTCTTTACAAAACGGTTCGCTTGTTTTGACCAATTCCAGCCAACATCTCCTTGTATTGCGAGGATAACTCCTGTAGTTGACAGCCGAAGCGTCTTTCGAGTTCTGTTGTCCGTGCTTCGTTTGTAGCGAGAGCTTCCTTTACCATCAATCGCAGATTCTCCATTATTGCAGAGTTGCTCATTGTGTTAGATTCTGATACCAATTTGTTATGTTCTCGATATCAGGATCTTGTCACTAGGCGGTTATCTGAAATTTTCGGCTCTAGAATTTGCTTCTTTTCCTTATTGCGATTTCTTGAGCGATCTATTTTGTGAAAATAGATTATAGCTCATCAAAAGAATCTGCTACCTTGGATCTCATTAGAGAAAACTCAAATCTCGTACTTTAAAATAATATTCTGATTTATTCTATTAGTAGCAAACATTTCTCGTTATATAGAGATTAGAGTTCTTATTTAGAAATGTTAATTTAATTTGGAATCTAAATGTAATTAGAAATATTTTACTAAAATATTAAAAATTTTACACTATTTAAGAATAAAATATTAACAGAATATATATATATTTATTATTTAAGAATCTAATATTAATTAGAATTTTAATTATTTAGGAATTTAATACTAATTAAGATTGTATATTTAATTGAATGTCAATTTCCTATTCTTGCTGCGCCTTCCATATTTCTATCCAGCACTTAATGTAGTGTTGGTGTGAAGAAGTAAAAGGTAGAAGGGCCAAGTAAATCATGAAGATCTTGAGTTTGAATGATAATGGCCCTGGTAGCAAGCATCTTGAAGCATAATATTGGTAAGGAAGGTTTTTAGGGCTAATATGCATATAATGATATGGCCAAAAAGAGGTAGTCAACAATATGTTGGTCAGGAGGTGTTGGATGAGGATGGTAATGGGTTGGATCCCTGGCCATGTTCCATAAAATCCATACGGATCCAATTTTAAATATATATAAAACCCAAATCAGTCCCAACAAGGGATAGGTTTAAAAATTTATTTTGTTTTCGGCCTAATCCGGTCTCCGTTTAAACTCAAACCAACGAGACCTGATCAATCCAGATGATATATTTCAATGTATTATTTGTATATGCTAAATTAAACTATATATTATGTATATTTTTAATTAAGACTTAAAATATATATTATGTATAACAAGATTGGGTTCTAACAGATTTTTAATTTTAAGCATGAACCTAACCGATCTGGATTTAATTTAAAAATTAACCCGATCTGACTACTTTATCTTTAAAAAATGGGCTAGTCATGGTAAATCGGCTTCGGTTTGCCAAGTCATATTATTTTGGCCATCTATAGTGAGGGAGGCTAGATTTAAGGATTTTGTTTCGAGGACCTCGTTTGGAGTTTCTAGTAGTTTGGTGATTTAGGACGATTAGATAATGATCTTGATTTAGGGCTTGTCTTTCTTCTGGCACCTTTTTGCTATAATTTGTTGAGAACCCAAAGTTTAATTTAAAGTTGAGCGAGGTGTTAGGCAAGGAGATCCTCTTGTTTCCCTTTCTCATTATCTTTGTGGTGAATGTCATTAGTAGGATGCTTATAAGAGGGACTGAAAGTGAAGGATCTATATGTGGGGGAAAAGAGGTGGAGGTTTCTTTTTTGTAGTTTGCAAGAGAGACTTTTCTCTTTTCCCCTAAAAGATTATTTTTCTCAATGTTCTCTCTCTCATAGATTATTGAAGCAATTTCACGTAAGGATCAATTTGACCAAAGATGGTTTAGTTGGTATCAACGTGGAGGAGAATGTTATTAGGAGCTTAGCCAACCCAAGGTCTAATGTTTTGGTTTTGTCATTACTTTATCTTGGTGCATCTTTGTTTGGGGGGGGGGGGGGAAATATCCTTGTATATCTTCTTTTTGGGATCCAGTTGTGACAAAGATTTCAACTGGGTAAAGAGTTGGGAAGCATACTCTTTTCTCTCTAAGTGTGCATTGAATTTGTTACATTCTACTTTGTCTAGCATCCCCTTGCATTGTTGTTCATTGTGTAGAAATTTGATCAGAGTTGTGAAGAGGATTGACAGTAACTTCTTCTAGTTGGTGTAGGTGAGTATGCTAAAGATCATCTTGTTAAGTGGGATGTTTTTTATTATCTAAGAAGGAAAGTGGGTTATGTCTGGGAAATCTAGTTTCTAGAAAGATAGCCATCTTAGCTAGATGGTTGTTGCATTTTCTAAACAAGTTGTCGTGGCACAAGGTGGTGAAGGGCAAATTTGCAATGCACCAAAAAGGCAAGGATACTAAGTTGGATCTTCATATTCGCAAAATCCTTTAGAAAACAATTGCTTAAGTATATGTCTTTTCACAACTAATTTGGATTAGGGTAATGGCAGTCACTTTTCCCTTTCAGGAAGATAATTGGGGCAAGGGATGCAGTCCTAGTATCTCTTTTCTCTCGCCTCCACAAGCTCCATTAAACATCTGCATTGACTCCTTTCTGACTTAGTATCATTTATCTCGTTCATGAAATCCTTTCATCATTCTTTTAGTCGCGATCCTAGAATCTTCTACATAGTATCAGGGGCCTATAATTGTAAGTCTTTCTTTAATTACCACACCCATGGAGTAGTAACGAAAACATTGTTCTTCTTGCATATTTCTGGAAAATTGAAGCTTCTGCTAAGGTGAGATTTCCTTATTTGGACGGTAGTGCTTAATAGTTAATAGCAATAAATTCTTTAGGCTCATAGACTATAGACCACTCTTTATCTGATGTGTGCTTCATGTGCTTTTGCAATTTGTAGTATAGTAGTCCTTCATTTTTATATTTCAAGGTACTTGGAAGATTTGGAATAGACATTTTTTCTTTTTCAAGTTGGCCTGGGTTTGCCCAACAAACTTGAAAATCTTTGGCTTCATTGGATACAAGAAAATGTATAAGTTAGTTAACAATGATGAGAATGATAACCATGACAATGAAGTTGGAAAATTTTAAAATGTTCTTTCTAATGTTTTCTAAAAACTATTTTCATTTCTATTCCATTATTCCACAAATGCACATCTTTTACATATTTTCATGGATAAACACATGCATAACACTCACAAATTTAGAAAATGGAAACCTCAAAGTGATTTCATGTATCAAACAGAGGCTTCATTCTCTCTGTGTGGTTGAGCAGAGCAACAAGCATTTGATGGTTTGGGAATGGGCTATTTTTTTGTTAGTGCTTGAGTCCTTCAGTTAGAAATAAACGTAAGCATTTTTAAACAACATTCTTATTCTTTTAACAATCTTTGGGATGAATGTGTACAGGACAGAGGGATCGTGTTGTGATCTTGTTTTTGTTCTTTCATTTACATTGTTTTCTTGTATATTTGCTTTCTTTTAGTTTTTGGAGGACATCTTATCCTCCTTTAGGTTGTATTTCTACTTTCTTTATGTAATATATTTCTTCTTCTATCAAAAACAAAAATCAGTATTTCCCTAACAGTTTTAAAGCAGTTGGCTATTTTCAAAAAGATCATCTATACTAACTAAGCAGTGTTTTGGCAGTTCAACTTTCGTGGAATTATCTCATCTTGCTTCGAACCTCACTTGACAGTTTATGTAGAATTAGAAGAGAAGACACTAATGGAGAATCTTGAAAAACTCGTTCAGGTATTTTGGTGTATAAATCTTTTGTACATGCATTCTACATGTCTATTGTGCTTGTTCCATTTATATATATATTTTTTTCAATAGGAAGAAACCTGGGATATTGAGGAGGGGAGTCAAAATAATGTTTTGTCTAGCAGCATGCAGGTAAGTATAATGTCTATGTTGTTATAGTATTTCAGTTTAAAGTGTTGGATGAGTATTTTAGATTTTCTTTCAAGAAAATAGTTTCTGAATCCCTAATAGGTTTATTTGTTGCCTGCATCAGTGATTGGTTTTATCTGTAATGCTCTTAACAAGTGATTCCCTTACATAGTTCTCCTGCATTATTTTTTTTTTCAGTTGTTTCTTATAATCAAGAGGAGCTTGAAACGTTGCAGTGCTCTGACAAAGAATCAAACTTTATTTAATTTGTTCAAGGTGAATTCTTGAATCTCAATTTGTTGAGATCTCTTCATGATACATCTTTAGTCTAAGGCCCTTGCCTTCTTTTGTTTTGAGGGGGGTTGTCTTTGTCGGGGTGAGGGATTGGTATGATATCTTGCCCTGATGCATCTTCATTATTTCTCTTTTTTATTTTGCCTTCTTTTTCCTGCAAGATGCTGAACCTCATTATCTAGTTTGGAATTTTTTTGCCCTTCATAATACTATTTTTTTAATTTAAAAAGCATGTACTCTCTCGGTAAAAAGAATGTGCCTTACAAAAGGAAACTATAATTCCTAAGTAAAAACATCAGTAGAAGGGGACACACCTTAGGATGTAGAAAGAATACAAGAAGAGATGTATTTAATCTGATGTATGCTCTTATTGTTTAAATAAGACCTAGGTTTGCCATTTGTTACTGTTTAAATAAGACCTAGGTTTGCCATTTGTTACTGTTTAAATAAGACATAGGTTTGCCATTTGTTACTGTTTATTTTTTCATTGCTATAACTTTGTTGTTTTTATTATACTAAATTTGCTTGGACACAAGCTATATGTATTTTATTTTTGATCTTTTGAGAGGCCTTGTAATTGGTTTAAATTTATGAACATGATCCTCCCAAACTCAAAATATGTACTTATTCTTTCTCAATAGATTTATGCCATAAATTGGATCTCTGAATTCCCTCTAACCTCTAACAGCTCTTGAGGTTTCCAAGTTGGTGCCTGTTTTGGTTTTTGGCCCAGGATCACTCTCTTGGTTAGCATATTGCTGACCTAACGTGTCTTGGTTGCCTACTTGTTTATGTACTTTCTGAATTGGCATATGCTTGTTTTGATGGTTATAGGCTAATGTTTTTGTTATATAGAGTTATTAGTTTCTGTCAACAGCGATATCCTGGAGGGAAAAACTGAAATTGAGATGTCATATATGCATGAAGGGATATATGGGAGAAGTGATTTGGTCTATCAAGACGGTTGTCAGAGTGGTTTTCTATAAGAAAAATGACAATAGTTGGTATAACTGCTTGCTGCCTCTTAAACATGGATAGATTTTCTCTCAATTATGAAAGGAAATAGAGTGATAATTACTATGTGGATTTCAGATATCCTTCGATGTAATAAAATGAGTTCATGTGAATTAAAAGTCAGATATGCATGAATCATGCAATCCATAGTGTTTACTGGCTTCCCCTTTAATTGTAGGTTTTTCAACGAGTTCTAAAAGCATATGCGACAAGGCTTTTTGCAAAACTCCCTAAAGGCGGGATGGGAATTGTTGCAGCAGCAACAGGAATGGATGGACAGATAAAGGTATGAGAACTGATTGATGCTTATTTTCTTTCTTTCTTTGGGACTGCTTAATTCTTCAATAATTTTTTCACTTTTTCCTGTACAGACATCTGACAGGGATGAGAAGGTGATCTGTTACATTGTGAATTCAGCTGAATATTGCCACAAAACGGTCAGTTTGATTTTGCTTATTGATTGACTTATGCGTTTGTTCTTTTGTTTTTCATATTTACAATGCAGGTGTTGTAGAAGTTCTAGAAAAATGTATTTAGATGAACTATTCTGCTTCAAATTTGTGCAAATAACAAATGCAATGTTGTAGTTCTATGTTTGCAAAGAATGATCACATACTGCACTGTGAGTGTCATGGTTGTAGAGAAATGTAGGCATCTAAGAATGCTGCGTTGTTTGTTTATTTGAGATAGGATGAACTTTTTGTGTCTCTTTGGGCATATTAGCATGACCTCTATAAGTATTCTAGTTGCACAGAAGATTGGTCAGCTGTCCTCTATTGAGCTGTTTTATTCTCTATTAAGTTTGGCGTGTCTTTCTCATTTTTCTGTTTGAATTTCTTTTTTACTTTGAGGGCATTTAATCCTCCGTTGATGTAGTATCTTTATCTTTCTTTTATTATTTCTTTTTCTATAAAAAAAACTTGAGGTGTTTCTTGAGTTCCTTTTGTGTTAGAGGGGCATTTCAATCACATAAAGTTTCTGTTTTGGCCTTTGCATTTGTACTGATCATGACTAAGTTATTTGCTTGGTTTTCAAATAAGTATTTTATCTAGTGTCAATACTCTGCATCGGAAATTTGACTCTAACTAGGAAGGCCTGATTAACTCATCTATCTGAGGTTTCACGGAAACCATTTTCTGTATTGATATTTCGTACATTTAGTTGTTTCAATTTGAACTATCCTGTTGCTTTTATCATTTTTGCTATTGTGTTGATTGGACTTCCACATATTTCTGTGTTCCCAGCCACTTATTCTGTGTATGCGAAGTGTGACAATGCTCCACATATCTGAAATAGATTAAGCTTATGCCAAAGTAGTTAGTGTTGATAATTCTTGGACTTAAATGCTGTTATCAGCCAAGTTCTTGGTGATGACTGTAATGTTCACTCAGGATGCTGTAAGCAAACCGCTCAAAGTTTATATAGGAAGAAGGGTGAAATAGAGAAAGACCAAAAAAGGGCTGAAGGGCCGTTTTGTAAAGGGGTAGATTAGTCTTTTACTTATAATCAATTGTTGTTGGGTGATTGGGAAATTGTAACTATTCGACTGTGTAGCCATAGCAACTTGTAGCTGTTGTAACATACAGGTGTGCCTTTTCCCACCAACCTTGGCCTATAAAAAGGGGGTCTGGTTTAAATAAACTCATCAAGGAAAAATTCTCTCAATTCTGTCTTCTTTCTCTTGACTAATTGCCCTTTTTCTCTTTTCTTTGTTTCTCTTCCAAGCCAAAGTCATACCGTGACTAAGGTCTCTGACAAGATGGTAGCAGAGCTTTTGGAATCGCCTAAGACATATGCTTCAGTCGTCTCACGAATTAGGTCCAAAGGAAAGGCGGTGGTGGAACCGCCCAAAGCATTATTCGGTGAGCCATCTGCAAACGAGGTTGACCAAAGGCTAAACAATTTCATGGTGGAGATGTATGAAACGTAGTGGTAAACCCAACAACAATTCAACTAGATTGTTGAGTTGTTACGGGTCGACACTAAAATTAACGAGGTGACTAACTAGGCAGCTCAACCAACTCCAGTGAATGTCGAACAATGAGGAATCTTTTCCTCCCCAATTCTACGCGACCAAGACAAAAAATTTCCCTTCAACATGGATGAAAAACCATTGACGGCCCATAATCGACCTGGACGGAATTCTCTAGCTTCTCTGCCAAAAGTTGAAATCTAGCTACTTGAGGGAGTAATTCTCCATGGCTGGATCAGAAAATATGACAAGTAATTTCTGATACATGTCATCCTCGACGAGCTAAAGGTGGAAGTAGCACCTCTTTTTCTTGGTAAAATGGCAGATGTGCGGTATCAAGTGTGGTTGATGAAGATTCACAAGTTGGAGTAGGAGTTTTACATGGAGGAACACTGCTGTTGGTTCAATGTGCCTCAAGAAAAGACTTCATTGAAGAATTCAACAAGCTCACACAAGCCGAGATTGTTCAAGTGTAGCAAGAGTAGTTTGAGCATTTACGGGCTTTAATGAATGCAAACAATCCCATGCTCTCGAAGAAATGTTTTATCTCTAGCTTCATTCGTAGCCTCAAATTGGAACTGTAACCTATGATAAGGTTGCTCAAACCTCGTATACTCAATCAACTATTTGAACATGCCCTGCTCCAAGAGCAATCCATAATAGAGATTTCCTAAAACTCATACTTCATGGAGAAGTCCACCGACCCTTTTGGAAAATTGCAAATATCAGGAACAATGAATTTTGAATGGGCTCCTAGGAACTTGGGAAGAGAAATGGAGACTAAGAAATCAACGACGACTTATTACAAATGCGGTGACCATTATTTTCTAGTGCACTATTGTCAAAACAAAGCTGTGATGGCTGTGGAGGAAGTCCTTAGCTAAGAGAGCCTTGTGGAGAAGATAACTGAAGAATTGACCGATAAGGAAGAAAATCCAGCAGAGACCTTATCCATTCAAACCACAGGAGTAGTTGCAGGAAGCACCCTAAAAATCCGAGGGTTGGTAGGTAGGACATGATGTTTGGTCTTTTTGGACAGTTCACATTTCTTGGGCAAATGTATTGCTAGGTGGATCAAGAATTAATTGGTTAGCAACAAACTACTAATGATGATGGTAAAAAATGGCCAAAAAATTACTAGCAACATTGAATACTTGGAGGGTACCTAGGTGACGTAGGGTTATAAGTTTTGCTATAATTTTTTCATAATATTTAGTTAAGCAGATATCACATGATACTTGGAGTTGATTGCATAAAACAGTTTAGCCCAATGATATCCGGTCTTGTCCAAGCCACTATCAAGTTCAATTATGGTGATTTGCTGATAATATTTAAAGGGGATGACACCTGTGGAAAACTAACCACGAATATAAAGGAGGCCACTGCTCAAAAATGGGTTAAACAAGAACACAACATTGAAGGAGGGCAATTTTTCTAATCATGGAGGTAAAAACAGGAGTTTGGGCTGCATAGACGTCAAACAAGACCCTAAAGGCCTTGATCAATATAAGGACGCTTTTGGGGAGCTACGAGGGTCTCCTCCATCTAGGGACTTTGACCATGTCATATCGTTGACTCAAAAAACAAACAATTAATTCATGTTTATATAGATGTTCTTTTCTTCTAGAAAACAAATAGAAAAACAATTACATAAGATGCTGAAAGAATTAATAATTCGTCCCAGCCACAGCCCATTCTCATCACAAATCTTACTAGTCAAGAAAAAAAATGGGTCCTTGAGATTCTGTATTGACTACAGGGGACTCAATTCCCTGACCATCAAAAATAAGTTCCATATAACCATCATTAATGATTTACTTGATGAATTACAATGGAGCTTCCGTATTTTTAAAACCTTATCTTAGAGTAGGGTATCATTAGATCCGTGTTAGAGAAGCATAAAACAACCTTCTAAACACACCAGGGTCACTACAAATTCAGGGTGATGCTTTTTGGTCTCACCAATGCTTCAGCCACCTTTGAGGCTCTCGTGAATCATGTCTATAAAGCTTTTCTTCAAAAGTTCATCTTTGTCTTCCTCAATTTAAGTATCAATAAATAAAAGCATTAAACATCCTTGCACCGAAAGGTTGGGCCCTTGTTGGGTCCTTTTGGGTTGGTTTCTTGGAATAGGGCCTAAAGCCTTTGAATCTTTCTTCCCAGGCCTTTAAACCGGTATTCTTGACAAATCTTGGATGGATCTTGGACTTGGGCTGGTGCGGGACATCTTCTTGGGCCGGTGCGGGACATCTTCTTGGGCCGAAATCTTTGGGCCTTGCATACTTGGACTTGCGGGAGTCCTTGCGTGAGTGGAACTCCTCATTCCTGCAGGTAAAAACCCCCTCCTGCGGGCGCGGTTGAAATCCTTACCGCCCCTTTTTATGCGCGCAATTGTGTGCGTGTATGTGCGCGTGCGGCCCACCCGCTGTGTGCGTGTGCGTGTGCGCATGGCCTGCCGCCTGTGCGGCTGTGTGCTCGTGGGTAGCTATCCCGCAGGAATTTGGCTGCTCACAGGATTCCTGCTTCTTGTGGGAAACTTGTGTCTTTGGGAAATGTCTTCCTTGGCTGTTCTTGCTCACATCAGAAATGGTTATGGAAGGCTTACCCATCAGTACTGGGGAAGGCATGATAAGTGTCCAACCACAACAAGTTGTGACATTGAACCATCCTTTGTGGAAATCACCCTGCGGAGCAGGTTCTTATGCAGTGGGAAGGTACTCCATCAGAAGAATGCACTTGGGAGAATTACAAGTACATATGTTGACAATTTCCCAACCTCAACCTTGAGGACAAGGTTGCTGCTCTAGGGGGGAGTATTGTAAGCAAATCATTTAAAGCCTACTGTAGGAAGAAGGGTAAAATAGAGAAAGACTGAAAAAGGGCTGAAGGGTCATTTTGTAAATGGGTAGAGTAGTCCTTTACTTGTAACCAATTGCAGCTGGGAGATTGGGAAATTGTAACTATCTGACTCTGTAACTATAGCCACTTGCAGGCTGTTGTAACCTCCAGATATGCCTAACAAACAAGCGCACCTCTTTGCACCGACCCTAGCCTATAAAAAAGGGGTCTGGTTTGAATAAAATCATCAAGGAAAAATTCTCTCTATTTTGTCTTTTTCCTCTCAACTAACTCTCCTTTTTGTCTCTTCTCTGTTTCTTTTCGAAGCTGTCGGACTATGAGTAAGGTCTCTGACAGATGTTTTCTCTTTGAAAGGAATAGAATTCCTGCAAATCTTCTCTCTTTTCTCATTTTCTTCTGCATCCCCTGACTTCATTAGTTCAAAGAAGCAAACAAAACGTGAGATTCTAAGGTCCCTATTCTACACTTCATGACATTAGAAAATCTTTGGCTGCTGATCCTAGCATTTGCAAAGGAAAAGGGTTCCCTTTGGAGGAATATTGCAAAATATGTGGCACTACTCATCCAGTTAATTGGTCTGAGTGTCCTCCATCATTATTTTCTATTAGTGGGGATCTTCTTTGCCTTGAAGCAGTTAAAAATTATTTATAGTTTATGTACATTCCCCATGCATGTAAAGAAATGAATGGTAACCATGTGACTGCAGGTTCTTCTTATTTATTGTTCTTGTTTTATTTTTTCTTTTATTATATCAGAGTTTGGTTCAAATATATTGTATCAATGCAGAAAATTTCTTGTACTTTAATGCTTATCTCTGGGTGTTTATTATTTAATATATGTTTGGACGCAGACACTGATTTCTCAGACTTTTTTGTTTACCTTCACGTTATTAGAAGATTTAATTATTTCAACATCCAGATATAGAAATGTGCTGTATTAAATAATTAAAGCCCCTTGGTGTCTTGTGAATGAACTTTTTCTTTTCTCTTAAAGAACAAAGGCTGAGAAAACGTTGTGCTAGTTATGTTGAAACACATTTTGCATAGTAGCTCAGCCTTATTCTTGTTGTTGACAGTCTGGTGAGCTGGCAGAAAGTGTGTCCAAAATAATAGATTCTCATTTGGCAGCTGATGTGGATATGTCAGAAGTGCAGGTAGTTACTGTTTAATAAGTTAGCCATGCCGTAATAATTTTCCTATTCACTTCTCTGGAGTCATACTGCTGTTCAGGATGAATTTTCAGCAGTTATAACAAAAGCATTGGTGACATTAGTGCTTGGCTTTGAAACTAAGTTTGATGCTGAAATGGCTGCCATGACACGTGTTCCATGGGGAACCCTTGAAAGTGTTGGCGACCAATCTGAGTAAGATATTATTTCAAATTTAAAATTCTTCTTTTGTGGGTCTTTGGCAATTTCCCATATAACCAGATGCACTTTCTTGTAGGTATGTCAATGGAATAAATATGATCCTTACCAGTAGCATTCCTATACTAGGGAGTCTTCTTTCACCAATTTACTTCCAGTTCTTCTTGGACAAGGTGAATATAAATGCTATTGCTTTATGTTATGTTGACAAACATGGATCTTTATCTTATAAATTTATGCAGTTATTTTGATTTTTATTAGATGCTTTTTTCTTAGATTTATTTATACATCATGCATATTTGGTTTATGCTTTCAATCTATTTAATGGCCTTGTTCTCTCTTTCTTTTCTTCTCATTTTTTGTTTTAATGCATGAAAATTTATGTTCCCATTGGCATAATTAAGCATTTCAATCTATTTAATGGCCTTGTTCTCTCTTTCTTTTCTTCTCATTTTTTGTTTTAATCCATGAAAATTTATGTTCCCATTGGCATAATTAAACATTTCAATTATGCTCCTTTGCATTATGGTTTCAGATTATATGGTGGTTTCTTTCCCTTATTTTTCCTTATACACAACAAACATCATCTCTTGGTCCATGGTTCTCTCATTCATGGCCTTGTTCTTTCTTTCTTTTTTCGTTTTAATGCATGAGCATCTGTTTTTCCTTTAGGTATAACTAAGCATTACAATTCTGCTCTTTTGGAATCATGGTTCCAGGTTATGTTTGGTTCATAACCCTTATTTGTTTTTTATGTGCAGCTAGCATCATCTCTTGGTCCACGGTTCTACAGTAATATTTTCAAATGCAAGCACATATCAGAAACTGGAGCTCAACAAGTAAGAAATTATTCTTCTATTTTTGTTGCTTATAATATGTTTGCATGAAAGTTTTTCTTAAGCTGTTTTTGATTCGTGCATAAGACTACAATATATTTTTGAAAAGTATTAAGCAACCTCTTAACTAGGCACCGTGGAAGTGCCACCAAATTTTCAATGAGGTCAAGTAGATCTATATTATCGAAGTGTAGCAAAACAAATATCGATAAATATAGCTTACACTATGTTTGGATAAATATTCTAACGAATAAAGAGGAAAGAAAATGAAAGGAAAAAAGTGATTTTAAAAGGCGTGGAAAAGAAACATGTTTTCCTTGTTTGGTAAATAAAAATTGGAAAAAAAGAAAAAGGGAAAGAAATGGTTGTTGTAGTATTTTGTTTGGTTTTAATTTATAGAGGAAAAAATGGGTAGTTAAAAGAAAATAGTTCATAATATCTTTTATTAATGGAAGACAAGTTAGGTAGTAAGGATAAAATTCAAGAACCTTTAAGAGTTCTAATCCCTTTCCTTGCCCTTCATTCCCTCCCAATTAGAGGAATAGAAAAATTGAAGTTAAGGGAAAGGGAGGGATATTCACCATCCTTCCAAAGAAAATAGAGATATTGTTCATAAAAAGCTCCTGAAAGAGAAATGTCTTTTTCGGGGGGGAAGGGATCTTATAGTGTTTGGTCTCTAGCATTTTTTCCTGTTATGTTATGGGAATTTTATAATTTAGAGTTTCTCATATTCAGAGATAATTTTCTCAAAAAGTATGCTTAAACTGATACAATAAGGAATATGTTCAATCTAGTCCTTTTTTTTTAATTATTAAGAGTGTTTTTATAATTTTGAGTTTTTCTTTTTAATCTGCTAATAAAAATGACAAACCTAGTTGTTAGATTTTATTTTTGATAGTGAAAAATACAGATGGTTCCCTAGATGCAAACACATTGCTGAATCACATGAAATTTTTTTCTCTCTTCTCTCACTTTCTTCCATTCATATATGTGATGTGTGAGTTGAGGGTAGTTTAACACAAAGAGAGATTTTCGGAAACATCTATATTTCCTTCCAATCCCTCCATGGATGTCTTCTGAAGAACAAAGTTTGCTTCCAAAATCAATCCTGAAGCAATATGGGTCCTGATATCAATCCAGCTTTTTTTGATCTATTTCCACTCCCTGGTTGTGTAAGGTTCTAGATTTGCAGCCAACTCCTCAAACCATATCTGATCGAGATGACCTTGTGCCAGAAGTTACCCTTCTGTTAAAGCATAAAGCTACTCCAGAGCCATTTCATCTGGGACTCTATTGGACTCTCTTTGAAACTGCAGCCTTAATGCCTTAATAACATACCATCATGAGAAGGGAACCAACAATTATAATATTGGCTTCAGGTGGTGTTTAGAATCTGTAATAGTCAAATAACTAATGCCAGTAATTGAGGAGACTAATTTCTATAACCATCCAAGTTGGGTTGAAGAAAACATTGCTATTACCAGTCTTAAATATACAGTATAAGCAATTTTGAGTTTGCTTCATGTATGTCAGATTTGAATTTGTTGGCATTGTTGCAGATGCTACTGGATACACAAGCTGTAAAGACAATTCTTTTAGAGATTCCTTCTCTGGGCCGGCAGGTGAGTTCTTGCATAAGAATTTGCAGTTGTAAGTGTATCTTAGATAATCATGGCGCATTCATTTCAAATGCTGATATTTCCTGTATAATGACATTTTCAGAGCTAATAATATGAATTGTATGCCATGAGAGTCGCGGACATGATTATTTTGAACTGTTGTTGAAGTTGGGGGAAGTTGTCATTATGCAACTCAGGAGTTTCCTTTTATTTTCAGAAATTAATGGATTTTTAGTATAAGAGGAATGAAATGGATATAGTTCCAAGTCATTCTGACTTGATTATACTTTTGAAAGATTCTTCAACCAAAAAAAGACCTAGGATCTAACCCTTGCTTTACATCTTTGCCTGAATGAATGCAAGGTATGCTGCTGGCTTGTTTACTGAAGTGCTGTTTTAACATGTGATGCTTGTTAACAACTTTCAAGTATTCCTGAAGTTTTTTTCTCGTTTGATAGTATTCATGATTGTTTCGAGCGGATTATTTCAGAAAAAAAATGATTGTTTCTAGCGGATCCATTAGACACCTTTGTTATTACACTTTTGTTTATCGTGTACCAAATCACAATTTTATTTCTTGAGGCAGACATCAGGTGCTTCGAGTTATTCGAAATTTGTAAACCGTGAGATGAGCAAGGCTGAAGCTCTTTTAAAGGTTTGTGATAAATTTTATGGTTGCTTGGTTTTTTCTCCTATGAAGTAAATCCGGTTTTCTTCACTACTTGGCAGGTTATACTTTCCCCAGTTGATTCTGTAGCAGATACGTATCGTGCATTGCTACCAGAGGGAACACCAATGGAGTTTCAGCGTATTCTGGAGCTTAAGGTAATACATGCTTTTTTGGTTATATTCAATCATGACTTATTTTATAGTTATATCACTTTTACAGCATCCTGACCGTTGCACTATATTGGTCCTTCTCTCGTTTTCCTTGTCCCAAAATGACACATAATAGAATGTCAAGATAGTTAGTTCCATTTTCTCTTAGTTACAAAATCAAGACAAGCCTTGGTGTTTTGACAAAGAACATCTTTGGAAGCATGCTACTAAAAGCTTCTAATGTTTTGGCTTTAACTCTCTATGTACAAATTTGTACTTACATGTTTTATACATATTCAATAACTCTGTTTCAATTAAAAGAAATATAAAAAAAGACTCCCTTTAATGTTGGTTCGATATCAATGCACTTACAACCTTTCAATTAGGGTAAATTACACCTTAAGCTTTCAAAAATTATCAAATATCTTCCACTAAAATTATGATTAAATTTAACAAATTTTTTAAGGATTCTCTTTTCATTTTACAACTTTTATTTATTTAATTAAAAATTTTAATTTTGTTTGCCTAAAACCACTCTGCACAGTTTACATCTATATTAAGTTTTAATGGGGGGTGTGATTTGAAACTTTCTAAAAATTAGAGGTGATAATTTTAAGTGTAAGGTTGTTTTTGATAAAACAAGTATAAGGTGCTTTTTTTACATTTTCCCTTAAATTTATAGATTATACATGAGTATTTATACATATACGAGGGAGGGAAGAGAGTAAGTTTTAGGGAGGGAGAGTGATAGTGAGTCTTGTTTTATCTTATAGACCATTAAATTCTGTGACATTTTGTAGGATTATTGTTGAGGCAGTAATAAGGATATATTTGTGTTTAAATTAAGATGACAGTATTGCGGTCCTATTTTCTGGTTAATGTGTAGTAGCCCATATCTTTCAGTCATACAATTAAGATATTGCTCAATTGACCAACGAGGTTTAAGCAATGCGTACATGTGATCCTAAGAATATGCCTGTTTCTACTTTGATTCTTGATTAATGGGCTTTGACCAGCGTTATTGAAACTGGACTGCATTAATTTTAACATTTGTTTGAGATCCGTAAGGATATGGCTTGATCTTAGGGATATTCTTAAAAACTTTAGCCTCATGTTGGCATATCTTAGGGAATCGACATAACCTGGCTTGATCTTTGAACCAGTTGAAATCAATAAAAACTGACTGGTCCCTTGAAAACAAGTGAACTGATAAATCAACTTAGTTTAATATTTTTAAAATTTTTAAAGAAAAAAAATAAATATTAAATATTAAATATTAAATACTAAGTTACTGCTATGATTACAATCTTATACTAATAAATAAAATCTTATTCTAATTATTTGTTTCGGAAATAATTAACTAAATCTTAAAACTAACTAATAACTTAAATAGTAAATACTTAAATGTTTCACAGTAGAACTCAAAAATTTTAGTTGAATACTTTGTGGATAACCTAATTGCGGAAGGAAATTTTCTAGAAGAAAGCCTTTCAGTTCTTGATGTTTCCTCTGGAAAGGGGTGAATATGCAGCAATCGAAGAGGACGCTTTCTGCAGTGGAGAACAAATCTTTCAATGTAACTTGTAACTGTAGAAAAGATGAAGGTGTTAATCTTAGTAGCTTGACTGGGCCCAGTGCGAGGAAGCCCGTAAGAAAAACGGGAGGAGGCCTGGGGAGCAGGAGAAGAATGGGCTATGGTGTTTTGATGGGTTATGGTGCTTTGATGCCCACGATAAGCAGGCTGAGGAGAATGATTCTTGTGCATTTGGGCTTCAGGAGATGCGAGTGGGCTGGTCAAGGCAACAGGCGTAGGTGGCGGAAAATTTTAAATGGTGTTGGGCGGACCGAAATATCTGGACGGGCTAAAAAGTCGGGTACGGACCGGAGGATATGGAGACTCGTGACCAAACAACCCACGAAGGAAGCTGGCCGTGAAGAGGGAGAAAATGGTGGTACTTCTCACCGGGTGACGGCGGATGTGGCAGGGACAGCCACAGACAAAGCTGACA